AGCAAACACAGCTCTGGACGTCCTTGGCCACCATCAGCCCCCAGACAGACGGGGGGGGGATGAGACGGGTGACAGCGACCAGCGAGGGCCCTGCTGGGGTGCAGGATGGGGTGTCCCTGGCTGGGGAGGGCGCAGGGCACCCCGGCAGTAACCACGTATTAAATTGAAATAGCCTTGTCTTCAACTTCTTTAATCCACTTGGTTTCTGTGCACACTTATTTATTAATGGTTTTGTTCCAAATAAAGGTGTTTTGTGGCGAAATATCAGCTGTGCCTGAGGAATGCAGCTTCCTTCAGCCTGACTTCCCAGGCTTTGGGCACCTCCCTGCGTGGCCTTGGACCGTAGAAGGGAGATAGTCTGGATGTAGCAATGCTGGGGGGCCAATGTCCAGCACCTGTGGGTCCAATCCTGCCCCAGCATCAGCTCCCTTGGTCAGCAAGAGCAGGCTCTGGCCTCTGTGCACGTGGTGCGGGTGGAGGCTGTTCCCCAAAAGCTGTTTCAGTCCTACTCCACGGCACTGGCTGGAGGGATGGGGGGTGCTGGCCCTGAGGACCTGAGCCCACTGAGCTTTGGGCCCTTGGCTCTGATGATGGCCGTGCACCCAGGGGAGGATGCCGAGGTCAGATCCCATCGCTGGAGCTTGCTCTTGCCGCACCCGTGCGGGGGGCACCGAGATTCCCCCAAAGGGCCCTGTCCTTGGGGTTAGGGGTTTCCCGTCACCCAAGGCCAGCTCTGCTGCTGGTCTGGGGTCCCCTGGGCACATGCAAGGGGAAAAGGTGGTTTTGCCCCACGCACAGCCCCCTGCCCCATCCCCTCCTGCCCACCCGGGCTCCCGCTTCTCCTCCCCACAGGGTTTCAGATAAATTCAACCTTCCCCCATCACTCTGTGCCAGGGAGGAGAGCTGGGTGGTCTCAGAGGAGACTCCCCCCTGCCCCCTCCGTTGTACCCTCCTCGGGGCAGGCGGCTCTGGGGAGGTCCCCCGAGGTGGGCACCCCCGAGGTGCGGTGTGGAGGCTGGTGAGGAGGTCAGGAGTGGGGGGGGAGATGGACATGGGTGATGGCACCCAGAGCAGCCGCGCAGGGAGCTGGGGCCGGGCACCATCTCCGCCCCGGTGTGATTTACCATGTGCATTGAAG